ACCACCCCACCACGNTTTGGCACCGAGCCTACCAAACCTCAACCAAGTGGGAGTCCTATCGCGGTGACAGCAAGAAAGGTCTTGACTCCCTCAAAGAAAATGTCAACTCGGCCCTCGTTCTTCTCCAAGCCGAGCCCTTGCTGCATATGGCCACCCTCGATCTAGAGGGCTGCACCGCCGCTGGTATCCAGGATATTTATGGCGACATTTCTTCCGACCTGGACTACCTCATCTACGTCAACGACATCATGGTTGACTGGATCTTACCGTGCTTGAGAGGTGACCTTGCCTCTCGTTTTCAGCGTGAAAAATCACGCCAACGCATCGTCTTGGGCGCCTGGTTCAAACAGATGGGCGCCCTCTTCCTCCAGACCACTCGTCACGACATTACCCAAGCCTCTCAGGCTCTTCGCGACCAACGCATCCGCACGGCCGACGACTTTCCTGTCTACCGCTCCTCCATCACTGCTGCCGTCGACACCCTTCGCATTGAGGGCGCCTACTCGGCAACCCTCGTCATCGCCCAACTGGTTGATGGCCTGCCTTCGAAACTCAGGGACGTGATTGCAAACCTGTATCAACCGTCTTGGGATTTGGGCAAGTTCTTTGAGGTGGTGACTGCTAACCTGCACAAACTCACGCCTGCTGGTGCCCGCGCCAAACCTAAACAGGGTGCCTTTGCTGTTGAGCATGGTGGAGGGCGCGGGCACGGGCATGGCCGTGGACGTGGTCGCGGACGCGGTCGTGGACGTGGTCGTGGACGTGGTCGCCATGGTATACACCACGGGCCCCACCCAAAGAGTGATCGCGTCAATGCCAACTGTGAATTTTGTCGCATCTATGGCCACGATGCATCTCAGTGCCGCAAGAAGCGCGCGCACGAGAAGCACAATGGCAAGCAGTTTGCGGCCCCCGTCATGACCGCGACCTTGTCTCTTCCACCCCCCTCCCATTTGCCTGCTGCACCTGCTGCTCCTCCTTCCCATTTGCCCGCTGCTCCTGCTGTGAATTATTCG